TGCTGGCCATCTGAATACCTTTTTTGGTGAATTGATATCTGTTCAAGTCCTTTGCTGATTTTTTTATTGGGATGTTTGTCTTTTTGTTGTTAAATTGTGTAAGTTTTTAAACATATTTTAGATATTACAATTTTATCTAATATATGTTCCGGGAAATTTTTCCCCAATCTGTAGGCTGTCTTTTCATTTTGTTGACAAAATCCTTTGATGTATAAAAGTTACAAAGTCTTATCTGTTTTGTCTTTTGGTGCTTAGATTTTTGATATCACATTTGAAACTCTTTCAACCAACATTAGGTCCCCAGCCTCACCTCTACATTTTCTTCTAATACTTTTATAGTTGTATTTCTCACATTCAGGTCCTTGATCCATTTGGAATTGGTTTTTGTGTATGGTGTGAGGCATGGATCCTGCATTCCTTTGGCATGTGAAAATCCAGTTTTCCCAGCACCATTTATTGAAGAGACTCTTCTTTCCCCATTACACAGACTTATCACCCTTGTTGAAATTCAGTTGACCATACATGTATAGATTTATTTCTGGGCTTTTAATTCTATTCCATTGACCTACAAGTCTATTATAATGACTGTGGTGGGACAATGGTGGGACTTGGCTTAAAGGTTGGTGGTTTGAATGCACCAGCAGCTCTGCAGGAGAAAAAGACCTGGCAACCTGCTCCTGTAAAGAGTACAGGCTAGGAAACCTAATGGGGCCAGTTTTTACTCTGTCATCTAGGGTCACTATGAGTCAGAACTGACTCAATGACACACAACAATATATGTATATTATTATACCAGTACCAGGCTGTTTGAACTACTATAGCTTTATAATATGTTTTGAAACCGGAAGTGTGAGTCCGCCTTTCTTCTTCTTCTTCTATATTGCTTTAGGTGCCCCATATAAATTTGAGGTTTGGCTTTCCAATTTCTGCAAAGAACTGTTGAATTTAGGTAGGTATTGCACTGAATTGATTGCTTTGGGTAGTGTTGGCATCTTAACTATAATAAGCCTTCCAATCCATGAACATGGAAGGTCCTTCCATTTATTTAGGTCTTCTTTTAGTAATGTTTTTTAATTTTCTATGTACACGTCTTTCACGTTCCCAGTTACATTTATTTCTAGGTACTTTATTCTTTTATATGCTACCGTAATGGTAATGTTTCCTTAATTTCCTTTTCTGATTGCTCATTGCTGACATATGTCGTCGTTGTTGTTGTTATGTGCAGCTGAGTTGGACCCGACTCTTAGCGACCCCTCCTTGGGTTTCTGAGGCAATATCACTATGGAAGTAGATTGCCCAACTTTCCTTCCGAGGAGTGGCTGGTGGGTTTGAATCGCTAGCCTTCTGGTTAGTAGTCAAGTGCCTTAGGCACTACGCCGCCAGAGCTCCTAGTTTCCTTTTCTGATTGCTCATTGCTGACATATAGAAACCTGATTTCTGAGTGTTGACCTGTACCCAGCCACTCTGCTGAGTTCATTTATTAGTTCTAATAGCATTTTTTGTAGACTCTTTGGGGTTTCCTATGTCTAGGATCATGTCATCTGCAAAGGACATGATCCTATACAATGATGCTCCTTCCCAATTTGGATACATTTTATTATTTTTATAGCCTAATTGCTCTGACTAGGAACTCTGGTAGCATAGTGCCTAAGGCACTTGACTGCTAACCAGAAGGCTGGCGGTTCAAACTCACTAGCCACTCCGTGGAAGA